CGGTGAAGGGTTTTAAATTTATACCTATACTCGGCACTCAGGGCCATTGAACAGTGAGGGTTCTTTATCATGCCAACGCCTACCGTGACACGGGACCTCGGTTTTTAAGGTCTCCATAAGACCTGTGACTTTCACTTCTATTGCCGGGCGCTTGGCGAAGGAACAGTTACTATCTATGTTTACGTCTTAGGTTTGACGGGGCGCGGCAAACGAGAATCGTATGGAACGCCAAATTAACATATATTCAAATATTTGAACCTATCTTCAATTAATTGTATCTATCTTCATATCAATTGTACCTATCTTCAATTCAATTGTACCTATCTGTAAATGAATTAAAGATAGGTTTAATTCAATTATATTTATCTTTAATTCATTTGAAGATAGGTACAAATGATTTGAAGATAGGTACAATTGATTTGAAGATAGGTACAAATGCCATGAATTAAAGATAGGTATATAATTGATTTAAAGATAGGTGCAATTGAATTGTACCTATCTTCAATTATAAGACACTACAATAACAACTACTCCCCATTAAAATGCTTTGTTCGGTTCCCTCCATGTTCAAGTCGCTGTTAGAGGGAGCTTTCATTATTTTCTATAACTCAAAATGAATTGAACCTACTAGAGGTATAATTGAATTGTACCTATCTCCAAATCCTTTGTGGATATGTTTCAATTGTACCTATCTTCAAATCAATTGTACCTATCTTTAAATCAATTGTACCTATCTTCAAATGAATTAAAGATAGGTGTAATTCAATTGAACCTATCTTTAATTGAATTAAAGATAGGTGTAATTCCATTAAAGATAGGTGTAATTTATTTGAACCTAGGTTTAATTATTTAGAGATAGGTATAATTATTTACACCTATCTTTAATTCATTTAGACCTATCTTTAATTCAGTTGTACCTATCTCTAATTCAATTGTACCTATCTTCAATTCATTTGAAGATAGGTTCAATTATTTAAAGATAGGTACAATTATTTGAAGATAGGTTCAAATATCTGAATATATGTTAATTTCCCAGGGCTTCCCGATCACGAAGCGAGCGCCCTACCACTAGGCTACCGTGACCGATAGTAGGTCGCAATTATACACAAGGAATAACAATGGGCCTAGCACAGTCTCCTGGGGTTACTCCGGAGGTTTCTGGTGCTGATTATGACATCACACCTTCCACAGCAACACGTTGGGTTCTATTGCTTAGAAATGATTCCATCCAAGACATAGTTGGACCACGGATTCCGTTATGGTGTAGTTTTTAGCCAAACGCTGGTGTGGCATTTTGTTAAATGTCTTGGTAAATTTAAGTCGAGGAGCAGATCATCAATATGAATATTGTCGTATAGCCCTAGCCTTTTGCTAGGTTTTTTGCAGCATACTGAATTAATAGTCACTGGGCGATAGTTGGATGGTTTGCTCTTATCTCCCTTCTTGAAAATTAGTGTTATTGTCGCTGTATTCTAGTCTGTTGGTGGTCTTGCCTTGGTATATTGAGGCCTGGAAGGCAAATCGACTATTTCCTTGAGTAAGCGAGTTGGCAGGTTATCAGGACCACTTGCCTTATGCGGGTTCAGCCTAAAAAGTAGCTTCCTAATACCCTCTTGCCTGATGAATATGTTTGGCATATCTGGAATGTTACTTGGACCAAGGTCAGGGAGAATACAGAAGAAAACGCTTATTAAAAGTCGGGCTAGAAAGCTTCTATTTCATTTGTTCCCGGTCTACGACTGGGAACCAAAAGAGCTTTTATAGTAGGTACGTTTGGTAAACAAATATGACTTGTCTTTAAAATGGAAAGTGCCAATATTGTAGGATTTGTGACTTGTTGCGTCAAATGTAGGAGATTAATTTTGGAAGATCTTTCTTCGTACAAAAGATGTGCTATGGCTTTGAGCCACTTGAAAACGATGGATTTGAAAGAGATATTCTCATTGATTGGTTTATAATTAAACATTACGTCATGTTTAAGCATAAGCTCAGACTTGTCAAGTGGAACGATATCACAAAATCTTGACATTGTGAAGATGAGGTTTCATGGAAAGTTTTTAACAATAGCTCAGGAATATCAGTTTCCTGAATCCAAACCCCGAACTGCCAAGAGACAACAACATATGGCAAATAAATTAATGCTGCATATTTTAAAAAATGGAGCATGTTAGGAAGAGAAAACATAGACCTTGTTTTACAAGAATAAGCGACTGTAGTTTATGCAGCAAATAAATTTATACACTTTAGTTTAAGTGGAGAATTGCTTTCCTAAAACATCTAAATACCAGGAGCTTCTATGGGGCTTCGCCCCCATGCGTCCCAGCCAGGGCTTCCCCTTGGGCCTTCTGGGGGTTTCTCGGCGGCCCCCATACCGGATTCTAGTTACGATCATGTATGATGCATACAGCAAGAGGAATTGCAAGGTAGTTCATAATACATGGCTTACATTAACAAGCAAATACTGTATTCAAAGAGAGGAATGTTGAAAATGAAAATAACACTAAACATGTTCAGAAAAACTAATCAGCGACGCCTAGACTGAGAGAATTTAACAGTAAGCAGGGAATTGGATATTGTAAATGACAGTCTTTCAAATGTTGCACAAAAAAAAGTTAAATTGGGAAATGATTTTCTTGGATTTTCTTGGAAAATGAAAAGAAACCACACATACGGAAACTGCATTGGTGTTCTTCAGTAAATACCGATAAATTCACAAATCACAAACAGTTCCAACGTATACATGATATTGTGTATTATGTAATAATATATTTTATATATTTTCGTGTAAATTATTTGAATCTGATTCGTCGAGAAACATTTGTTTATAAAAAAAAAATATAATCATCTGAATGATGAACCCACGCCCTCCTGCGTGATGGAATATAGCAACACTCAACATAACTTGACGACGGGTTATATTTCAAAAATATTGACTGCGCAGAATTTATGCGCGTACGACTGACCATTAAATACATTCAGTATGATATAATAAATACTTCATATAGTTGGGAGTAGCATCGAAAATTTTTACTCCAAGAAAACCATAATCAACCGAGGCGCAGTTGAGGTTGACAATTTTAATTTTTGATGTTACAATCAACTGCATGCAGTATTTTTATAATCTTGGACTTTAACCTATACATATTCTATGCGTGTGTATAGAGTATTGAATCGTATTAAGAAATATAATATCTGTCTTTTTTCAACCCCTTTAAATAACTGGCTTATATGCATGAGTGTCGATCAAGTAAACTAGAGTTCTGAAATTCAATTCTGTTTTTTTTCCCTTGTTTTTGTTTGTTTTATTCTTTTCTTTTTTTTTAAATTGATAGTTTCTGTCTCATACCAGTATATCACACGGTGTATCACACTTCATAGAGAAATATGTTGCTTTGAAAGTTGAATTGGTTCCGATATGCCATCAATTAATTATCTAGACATCTATTTGTCTGCTCTACGTCATATTATGAATATATCAGAGTAAAAAATTAACATTCGTATTTTTTGTCCGGTTCAAGATACGCTTTCACTCACCATTAAATGTCTTTCTGGTGTACCATGGCGTGAAAATTTTCTGACTGGACCTTATATCGCGACAGTGAAAACAGGAGATAAAGTGAAAATCAGAGAGGCTGTTTGAAGTGACTGATAAAGATCACCTTAAGATCAGACGTACATTCATAAAGACTCTACAATTGTTGAAAAAAGCATTTTTCAGCTCGGTCGCCTCTTGTAATGAAAATGATTATCACATACTGTGCAGGTTAAATTATCGCTCCATACCCACTATCATTTTCAATCACTATCGCGGCATCTTTAGCCATTAGGTGTTTTACAATGGCTTTACAAATTTCTATTTGACTTTGAAAGCCAACGAACATTTTTCTCAAAAATCGGGAACGATAGCTACCAACGCATCTCTACGCCCGTCTTCGTGCGACTCCCATATCCTGCTTTTTTCCATGTTGGATTTTGCATGTATACCCAAGTTTTCCACAACTGTGAAGTCAAAATGATAAATCGTTGTCTCCAATTTAGTGTAGCGTTTCATTTTAGTGAAAGAATGATTGATTTAAGAAAACTGATCTTCATAATTGAGTCAAAAATACAGCGACTGGTGTCACTTTCTTAACCGGTGTACCATTACAAGACTAAACAATTGAAAGATGCTGGTATAAATTATAGATATCATACAGTAATTAATAATAGTGTCCATCTCTGTTGACAAGTTTATTATTCACGATCATGTAAGAATAATAATCTCAAAGTGAATTTCTCTGGACTTTTAAATGGAGATTTTCCCTGTATCCATCAAGAATAAACGTGTTTCAATTCTATAGAGAGAGCAAATCTCTAACTTGACTCAAATAACCTCGAAAATAATTCCTAAAGTGTTTTAAGAGTATAACGAATATTTCTTTTTATTGATAAATCCATTAACCATATTATAGGTAATTCATTTTCACTGGTGCTGGAATTATGAATGCTGACGACAAAAATAACGGATAACATACGTTTATGAAAACTCAAAAAATTCTTTAAAATTAAATTTTCAGCGAACCTAAAATACAGTCGGCGATGACGTAAAGCAGAATATATCACAACTCTTATCCATTTCGTAAAAAATTGCTAAAATGAGATTAAAATATTTTTCTAAAAATAAAGATAAGCAACGAAAAATGTAAATTATTTAGGATTTTTTTTTATTTGAACATTCTTACGTTAAGTTAAATGATTGTTTTGTACGATTACTTTTCAGATCTTTTCTTAGGAATAATTTTCATCGTTGTGAATGAATTCTCAGCAGGAAAGGACGAACGTATAATATCAGAGACAGTATCCTAAGATTGTAGCTAGAAATATATTTTGTTGAATGTTCTAAGTAATCTTTAAAAGATGGCTGAAGCACGCCAAAAAACCCGAGGAGATAGATAACATTATTATATAACGCGATATCTGCAATTTCAACAGGAAATAAAACAAATATAAAATAACATCGCTAAAGGCTTAAGAAATAAATATTTATTGAAAAGAAAAATGGTCTTATTAAGAATGCAGCTTATAGTTACTATTTCATTGATTTATTGTTTACAAATACTTTTAAATCTTATACGTGTATAAGACTTAAATCGCCATATTTTACGGGTACAAAATATACATATGATTCATGTCTAAAAAGCTCAGAGAATTCTTATTCAAACGCTGCGTTTTTCATACAATTTGTTGTTTCTCCCCTTTCCATAAATTCAACTACATTCATCAGGCCATTGCTTTGTATTCTTGGAATTTTCTTCCAGGATGCTACTTAGTTTTGCTATTAATTGCTCATGAAAACTTTCTTTATAAATCACTTTACAGAATCAATATAACTTTCCGCCAGAAAAAAAGTCTTTTACTCATTTACATGAAGAATAATACAATTAAGTCAATTTTTAGAATTAACAGACTGATTTATAAAAATTACAATGCTGTGTTCAAAGCATACGTAGCTGTCCACATCAAATTTGTTTCAATTCCTGTAGTATACATGTATTTAAATTTATGTTCCTGCAAGATATGAAATAAATATTGGTGGTTAATAATATAAGAAAACAATCAAAAACATGTTGTTCATCATTCGATGGCAAACTACTGTATCCTTAAACAGTTAAGAGAAATGTAATACAGTGTATAATGCTACATTGGAATTGTTATCTTTTATCAACTTTATCTGCAATAACGGGGAAAAATATTGGGCAAAAGTTCATCAGTGATCATGGCTGAAATAAAATTGAACAAATACATTATGTATACTTGCAAAAAAGTAATCATAGATTGAAAAGAAATCAGTTATTAACCTATTACCAACCGCAGAGAAATCTGCCTCTGTTTCCCGCCGTATCATTGTTTCTTCCTGCAGTTTTTATTGTTTTTTACGTGAACATCGTAACACTCCTGCAGAAGCATCTGTTTCTTCTTGACACCTGTTGAAACACTGACAAAAAGATATGAATTAAAACATTTTACACACCCACAAAAATACTCAACATGATTTTTTGTCTGCACTGTATGAATATGTTCGAAAACAATGTTACAGTGCAAAAAAGTTCCCCCTTCTTCTCTTTAAAGAAAATGACTCACCTGAAATTAAGCGTTTCAACGTGATTTTATATATATATATATATATATATATATATATATATATATATATATATATATATATATATATATATATATATATATATATATATATATATATATATAGGGTGGTCCAAAACCTTTGCTTCTGTTATCATTTATATATTACTTACCTCCTGAAAATTGTGTCTTATGGGGTATTAAAATCACATTTATTAAACTACAACAGCGGCAATTAAGTATTTCATTATGTTCATGTAATTTTCTTCAATCTAATTTTTACACGAAAATTACCCAGAAAGTTGACATGGTTGCTTTTTTGCATTTTTTATTCTCGCAACTTGAACACCTGGATTTCTCTGCAGATTTGAATCCAAAAATTTGTTTTTGTAAATCTCTCTAATATACATGTACCAAACACCTGTAGCTTTTTTCCAAGAATATCTAGTTTAACACTATTATGAGATATTTACATATTTATATGCTTTGTATATTTGAAAAAAGACTTTTTTGCACTTTAAAAATCTATCAAGATGAACATTCATGCAAATTAACCCTATGGAGGGTTTTGTGTCTAAGGAGGCAATTTTCTCAGGTAAAATTAAATCAAGATTTCAAAAATATGAAATATTTATCTCTAACATAATCTTTAAAGTCTCATCACAACTAAAAGTCAGATAATTTTAGAAAGCTTTTCAACAAGAAAATGATTCCTGCTGTTACTTTAAGATTGCGCACTCCCCACCGTATAATAAGTAAGCTCTTAGCAAAAAGAAATATTTATAGAAAAGACGCTAAATATTTATTCTCTGCCGCTCATTCACGTCAAACTTTATTTCCAAGCTATCACTTCATCCATGAAGAAATCATATCTTACGATCTCAGAAGGGAGTGTGTTGATTTGGTGAAACAGCCAATACGCGATCGGGTGTACGAGAGACAGAATTATGAATGGTATTAAATGGAACTCTACGCTACACTACTATCATCATAGGACTAATACCCGAGATGTGAAGGCTAATTATTGTCTTGTATAAGATAATTTCTGCAACAGGCCATCCAAAATGGATTTTAATTCTATTGGATTTTAATGCTTAGTGCTTGTCTTCTTAAAATGAAAAAGAAAAATGTGAGTTGATTTTCTTGTTTTTCTACCTGTAGAGGGGAACTCTTCGTACACTTTGCGAAGCATTTGTTTCAATCAAAAAAGTGATTTCTTCGAAATTTTCATATATTTTTTTTTATGGATATCTAATTTTGTGGAGAAAGTTTTCATAGGTACTTGAATAATCTTCATCGCATGATGAAATATGATCTCATATACAAACGTATTATTATTTGCCCTGACGCTTAAACATCTACCCGACACTAGAGATTTGCTGATCAGATATGAGGCTCAACAGATACGGACTGAATGGATTAATATTAACATATCTAACATTGTTTGAGATCATTTCTTTGACACAAGCTTGTATTCTTTTGCTAAATGGTTGGGCCCCCCTTTCTGTGTACAACCGAACGCTACTAGCGGATGTGGTAGTTTCAGGATATGTACACGAAACTTATAAAGACCTCAGATCCAAAGATTTTACTTACAGTGCCAAAATAGAGCTGATTACCATATATAAAGGTCAGCAACTGGTCGAAAAACTTACCCCCGTGTCGAAGAACACTTTTGTCATAAGTAATTTCGGGGATAAGAAAATGTGTTATGCCGACATCTCCGAAGATGAAATCTACATATTGTTTTTGACAATATACAAGGAAAGACTGTCGGCGAAATACGATGATATCTTTGGTGCTGCCACTGAGCTTACAAAAACCAAAGAAGAAGAAATACTCACACAGCTAGGTGAGTTTGTCACATTTAGTTTTCCTTTCACTACTTTTTTTTTTTTTTTTTTTTTTTTTTGCAAAATATTATTTAGACAAAAAAATTCTAAATTATATTTTTCTCTGATTTTAATTTTTTGCAAAAACGTTCTTAGAAATGAACTCCCAGGAACCATTTTTCCCCTGACCAGTAGTTAATCAGTCAAGACAGATTTTATGGTACCAAAGTAGATTAATGTTGACATTGTCTAGTAGCATGCATTCTCCATGGTAAACTGTCCATGCCGAAATAATCATCTCTCATGTAAAGTCACACATTCCTAATATCTTACTAAGCATTTTCAAGTTATTCTTCAGAAATGTACATAAATGCATTGCATTTCGTCAGGTTCATTGCGATGAAATTTAGCCATTTAATGCCAAAAAATCGAAGTGTGCAAATATTGCACCCTATAAAATAAGATAAACATTTTGGCTTTTGTAGTACCGGGTAATTGAAATTTAAATGCTGAAATGATATTATGAAGACAACCTTTTGAAAATCAAGTGTGTAACAACATGCGGTTATACATTATCTGTGAAAATTCATCTTTCCAACATTTAATAAAGAGTTTTGTACTTTACTTGAGAAGGTGTTAATTTCTTTCGGTGGCTTGCTTCAAAAATCGAAGAAGTAACTATATTGTGAATATATGGCTCAATGGGTTGTGGAGGCATGCATTACTCATTGCAGAGGAAACTTACAATCACGGATGGAAACATACAATTACAGGATGTTCATAATTTGCAAAAACTTCTGAAAACAACTTATCCCTTTCAATTTTAATTGCTCTTTTCTTTTTAAATTATGTTTTGGTTGTATCCATCACAAAAAGCAAGAACACAGCTTAAAAAACTACGTCATCATCAAGATAAGCAAAAGCTGATAATTATTATCTTTTTTTAATTATATATATTTTTATTGACTTTGAATTGGGGCTATTTTTCATGTGTAACCAAAGGTCTAAAGTTCGTGTAACAGAGATCCCTTTTGGTGACTAATGTGTAACATGAAGACAGACTTGAGAACAGATCGAATATCAAGATTATTTATACCTATTGACAAATATTTACATTTTCAAAGGAAAATCTTTTAAATCGCAAGTAAACATGATACATTTCATAATTATGTGACGCTAGAACGATATCTGTAAAGATAGTATTTTTGGAAGAAAAATTAAAAATTATTTCTACGTTGCTTCTTTTGATAAGGAGAGAGTTTGGCCTATATGATATACGAAGATTGAAATTTAGCTTTTCAAGAATAATTTAAATTTGTGTATTGTAGACTATAGGTCAAATTTTACCAAATAGCAAAGTTTTTATTCTTTAATTTATTTTACAATTGCTCTACCGTTTTCATCTAACGTAAAGCAGACGATTTTAATAAAATTTTGGTTTTCAGTAAGTCATCATTATTTTTCCAAAATGAACATGCATTGCTATTTTTTAATTAAGATAAATTCGACATGCCTTCATGTTTACTCTATCAAAACTTTTTTTTCGTAAAAAATGCATTTTGGGGGACATTATCATTCCAGAGTGTTTTTTCAGTTCAAAAAGAAAAAAAAAAGTTTATTCATCGAAACTGAACATTGTGGTCCAACCTTGATTTAAGGCATTCGATTAAGTCGGTCTTTTCCTTGATTCCCAAAGTTTATGGAGTAAAATACCAATGTTCAAGTTTAATTTTTGTTTGGTCTGGGATCTTGGGTCATAATTTCGTGCCCATAAATCGCCAGAATTTGAACGCTCGAAAAGGCCCATATCATCACGTCTTTATCCAAGGAAAATTGATATTTAATTCGATAAATTCTTACGTAGTTATCTTTGAAATTGATTTTTAGCAAAATCTTATCTGTGAATTTGAGTTATATACATCATAAAATACAATTTTCCCGGGTAATATCGTTCGGGTATTTGCCCGAATATTACTATGGGATTATGAATCTGTTTGAATCATCTGGTCACATAACTTTGGGGGTCATTGTGTTATACATGATTTAAGTCTGTCTTTATTGTCTGTTTTGACTTGATTGTCATCTTTTAACGCTAAAATCAATTATTATGTGTCCCCGTTGACTGATATGATGGTTAATCAATAAAATTGGCTTTTTAACACAAAAAATTCTGAGACAGTGACATAGAATCTGACAAGGGTCAAGGAAAACTAAAATGAAAATTTAAACCTTTTATTGATATGATTTTCTTGAAAGCGTTGACGAAACTTTGTTAAAAAAAAAAAAGGTGTTCTTATGAGATAATAAAAAAAAATAACAATTACTATCGGTAAATAAATATAAATAATCTGTTATATAAATTTGAAAGTTTTAGTAGTACAGTAGAATAATATTCTATGACTGATGTATTGTTTTGATTACTTTAAATCTTAATGCAGACCTTGAAATATTCCTCAATTGATAAAAAATGGAAGAGAGATTGGATAAAAGCCGAGAACTCAAGTACACATTTGTAAAGTCAAAACTTCACATTCAGCAAAGATATCAATACAATGAGATGAGACCGGAACACACGTTATCCACAAAACGTAATTGAAAATGAACAAAACTCTCATACTTTACGTATTTGCACCACTTTCCCCCAATTACAGAATATAGTTTGTCTGAGAGAGAGCATTCAAAAACTAGTGTAAAAATATTAGTGTTCTCATAATTTTTGATTTCTCATCCAGATTAACTTAAACACTTAACTTTAGACACTAATGGAGAGAAAAGTAAGATTAATGAAGTTTACAAGTAAGAGTGATGAAGTAAACAAATAATCTGATGATGAAGAAAACAAGGAAGAGTGATGAAGTAAACACGTAAAATTAAGTGATGAAGAAAACAAGGAAGAGTGATGAAGTAAACAAGAAAGAATGATGAAGTTCACAAGTAAGAGTGACGAAGCTCACAAATAAGAGTGATTAAGTAAACAAGAAAAAATTGATGAAGTTCATAAGTAAGAGTGATGATGTAAACAAATAAAAGTGATGAAGTTCACAAGTAAGAGTGATGAAGTTCACAAGTAAGAGTGATGAAGTAAACAAGTGAGAGTGATGAAGTTTACAAGAAAGGGTTAATATGAAAACAGCAACTTTGTCTTTGTTACAGATCATTATTTTTTTTCATATTCTTGGAACAATAAAAAGTTTCATTGTTATTATACTTGATACATGTAAAATAGTGCACAAAAAGCAACTGAACAACATTTATATATATATATATATATATATATATATATATATATATATATATATATATATATATATATATATATATATATATATATATATATATTCAATATATATATATAATTTTGTTTCTGGTATTCATGAATAAACATGTAGAATTCAAAACTCTTTAAAAGATATCAAGTCCTCTTGAGACTGTAAAATGTGGGTTTAAATATTCCCTTAAGTGATCTACAATTAAAATTTTATAGAGAAATAAATTGTACTTCATCCTCTTAAAATTACCCACCGTATGATCAAAAACAGCTTATTTAGTGGGGATCATGCTATTTATCGCATGATAGCCGGCCAGATTAAGACAGCCATCTTTTGTATTTGTGAAGGATTGATTGCGGGTGACCAATGGACATATAATTATTTCTTCAGTGCGGGACAGTTATTAACTATTTGTATTATTTGTTCACAGCAGTTCATTACGACTTGATCTGTGAAACCGGGGCTTGAATTTCAGAAATGTGAATAGAGTATTGTAGCGATTTATTTTCCACAAATACCCGTATTTCAGAAGTTAAAAGTTTTCTTTTTAAGGGGATGACTGGGTATTATCATCTATAGTATTTTGAACACGGGTATATTTTGTATCCCTTGTTAACGTTTGACGGGGCAGTGTTAGGCTTGTGTATGACCACCAACAGAACATATTTTTACAACAGAGGTCAATACCATATAGTAAACAATTAAATTAATATGTTTAAAAACCAAAACATTCAAACATATCGAATTTCAAGTGACCCATATGATTATTAAAATACTACGTTTTGTTGATAATTATTTTTATCTGATATTAATCAGTATTCTGACATTTGAAAGATTGTTTGATTATCATTATATTTAACATGATTGCTGATTTAATTAATAAAGATAACCAGGTAAAGAATTTCAAATAGTTATTAGAGTATCAAATCAATATATGCAATCACACATACAATTAACTGATTAACGACTGTCGAGTGCATACAGTTTTCACGTAAGCAGCTGGTAAGGACAGAACGAACAAGAAAATTTGCATGCTATAATGCATTAAGTTAACTAACCAAGTAGGATTTCGTGATTTTTTTTTCTAGATGGGTGGTAAAGATTCAGCAGAACTAAGTAAACTCGTCAATAAGCTAGCGACAAAGTAAGTTCTGCCCTCCACTCTATGGAAACCCTCCCCTCTCTACAGTAAGTATAATACCCCATACAAAGATGTCACTTGTTAAGACCTCTCTCGTGACTTAGCCGACTACAATGGGAGGAGGGAAATGTACGGGATTTATCCACGGTTTTGTGTTTTGTACCCGGTAATTAATACGACAAAATAACTCCTTTTTTCGCCACAATTAATTTTCCTAGCATGATGTGATTCCTGAAGAAGGCGCATATTCATTATTTAAACCAAAGTCTGAAATTTGTGGCGAGAATTCATTGTTAAAAAGCACTGTCCTGTTCAACATGTAGTTTAACGGTATTTCGCTATGTTTCCTGGGCTCTTTCTAATTATGAAAATATGTCGTTAGATGGAGACTAAATATTTTTTCCGATCATTGACACCTAGTTCTTTACATTCGTTAAATTATTTATTTAATCGAGTATAAATGGAATTTGTACATGACGAAACAATGCTCTACTAGTATCTGCAACTTTTTAACACTGCATGACAATTAAACATCAAGCGCTACAAAGAAACATCTTGTCTAATCACTTCGTCTTCGGCAATTTTAAGCCCTTAAGCGGAATATTTACAG